AATGCGGCTCTTCCTCCCCCTGTCTCTCAAGGATATTCCCACAGACCACTCCAGAACAGATCAGGAAGGAGGATGAGCAGGTACTCTGGACTTCTCCAGTTGTGGCTTCAGATTTGCATGGGCCTCTCCTCCTTGTTCCCTTCCCCCTCCTCCAAAGCCTTAGATGTGATCTCAGACCCTTCAAAGTTGGATGTGACTTTGAACTCTCAGCAAGAACAAAGGAGAAATCAGTAAGTCCTGGGGGAGGGAGCCCTCATGTGAATTGAATTGCTTTACATTTACAGGAAATTAAATCCAATTAACTTTTTCGCCTGGCCCTCTGCCTTCCTTTCAGAAGTGTGGTCTTGCTCCCTGTCTCTAGTGGTGCAGCATCTTCAGTAGAAAGAGGAAAGAATTCAGCTGGAAAGGGACCAAGAAGATGTTTAAGAGATCCAAGTTAGAGGAACAGTCTTGTTAGATGGAATTCCATCTGTTTCAGAGACAGACTTTCAACGGCGGGAGCCAAACGTGGCCCAATTTTTGTAGCTGCTTGAAGTCTCTGCTGCAGATTGGGATAGTGAAAAAAGGGTCCATTCTCTGGGTGATGTTCTTCAACTCCTGTGAATGTATTTACATTTATTATCTATATAATTTTAATTATTGTGGCCAGTACAAACTAACCATTTCCCACAGCTAAGATACAGAAACATGACATTATTTTTGTTTGGGGTATCCAGACTTGATAACATACAAGAAAACACAATGTCAGTTTGCTATCTTGACAAGTTTTCTAAAGACCTTTTATCCCTTCTTCGCAATCAGGGAATGTGTATGACTTTTATTTTCATAAACAAGCCAGTGGACAGTGGAACATGTGGACAGATTATATAACAAAGGAGGAGCAAACAATTGCTGCTGGAGCAAAGGTAAAAAAGTTCTGCTTCATTTATCATCGTGGACAGGAAATGCTTATTATTTGCTGTTTATTTAAGTAATTAATAAATTTACTCTTCATCCAGAAAGCTTCCCAGTGTGACTTATATAAATCAATGAAAAGAATCTGTTCCTGCCCTCAGGCTTGCAATCTACAAAGATCACAGCTTAAGAGGAAAATGAGTTGGGAGGGCAAAGGAAAAGGAACATATTCAGGTGGCTGTTCTTAATCTTGCAAGGATCTTAATTTTGGTACAACCTGGTGAAGTGCTGGATGACTATTGGGGCAGAGAAAGGGATGAGAGTGATCTTAATCCCCATTGCTCTTTCTGATGGAGCCTGAATCCAATTAAGTGCAGAAGCAGGGCGTTTCTATCCATTGACATGGACACTGCTGAAACAGGTGGCTTTTGGACAAGTTTGTCCCTGTGTAACCTGCAACCATGTCCCCTAGGTATGATGTGACCCAGCCCACCCTGCACTCCTCTCCTGCTTCTCCCCCAGGGATTATGCAGACCTTGGGACCATCCAAAAGCATCCCACTGCTGCACTAAGCCATCTTAGGCTTAATCATGGTTTATTGAAGAAGCCACAAGTGAAGTGCTCTCCATTTTTGGCTTCACAATGCGTGAGGCCAACTAAGCTCTGAGAACCCCCTGCTACCCTCCACCCCTTGCTGTAGGAATAGAGACTCTGCTAGAATTGGATGACAGGCGTGGGAGGACTTTCTCCTGAGCATTTGTCTCCTCACCCAACTCTCTCATCCCAACAGGTCTCAGAACTGATCATCCCAACCACAGAAACTGCCCGGCAGTCCTTTTTCCTCAAAACCTACGTGGAACATGAAATCCCCATGTTGTTTGTGGGACCCACTGGCACAGGGAAATCAGCCATCACCAACAGCTTCCTCATCCAGCTTCCCAAGGCCAAATATATACCGAACGTCATCAACTTCTCTGCCAGGACCTCCGCCAATCAAACACAGGATATTATCATGTCAAAGCTGGACAGGAGAAGGAAGGGTCTTTTTGGGCCCGCCATAGGAAAAAAAGCCATTGTCTTTGTGGGTGAGAGGAGAAGCTGTATCTTTTGATTGTTTCTTTCAGATTTGGGGCTTCCTGGATTCACATATCCTTTCGGAGCTATGTTTAGTTTCAAGCCTGGTTGTTGAAGAAGCTGTGGAAACCTGGGTTTTATAAGCTGTAAACCACTGCTTCCCAACCTCAGCAACTTTAAGAGGTGTGGACTTCAATTCCCAGAATTCCCCCAGCCAGCATGGGAATTCTGGGAGTTGAAGTCCACACCTCTTAAAGTTGCTGAGGTTGAGAAACACTGCTGTATACTGCAGCTTGCAGAAATCAGTGGCTGGATTCACTCGTTCTGCTAAGCCATAAACCACAGCTGAGCAGAAAAAAAAAAGAATCATATGCCTTGTAATATGCCTGTGTCACTAGTATGAAAACCACTGGCCTAAAATATTTCAAGGAGTCTTTGTGATAATCAAGTGGGGAAGAATGTAAATTACAAAATGCAGTAGTTATTCAGGTCTTCTGGGTTTCTAGAAACCTTTTTTCCCTTGTTCTTTTCTTTTTCCCTTTCTTGTTCTTGACTGATAAATATTAGCAATCTCCATGTTCTTTTTGAAAAAATCCGTTCCATCATTGCTCTTCCTGGAGATATAAAATGTATCAATATTCTTCCTAAATGTATCTCAAACATCTGTGTGTTTTGCCTAAACATATCAACCTTCTTCCTACCTATATGAAAATAGTGTCAGTATTTTCCCTGGTGCCTCAAACGTAACCATATTTTTCCTAGATGACTTAAACATGCCAGCCAAGGAAATATACGGCGCTCAGCCCCCGATTGAACTCCTTCGGCAATGGATTGATCATGGCCACTGGTACGATAAGAAAGATACCACGAGGCTGGATGTTGTGGACGTTCTCTTTCTTTCGGCCATGGGTCCTCCAGGTGGGGGAAGGAATGATATTACAGGTAGGGAGCTTGGTTAAATTCAAGAAGATGAGGTAGTTCTAACAGCAAACTTAGCTGGTGGCTGACCAAAGAATTTCTAGCCCAAACGAGGATACCAAGCAAGGAGGAGCAAGGGGCCCGTTTATTTATTTAATTATTTATTTATGGGCTTTACTGACTACCTTTCCTCTGAAAGTTCATGGTGGGATAATCAAAGTCTCCTCTTGTTTTGTCCCTCAAAATGGCAACCGGAGAGGCAGGCTGGGCTGAGAGGCTGGCCCCAGATCACCAGGTGAACTGAATAGGGATTTGAACCTAAGTGTTTCTGGCCCCTGCCCAGCGCTACAGTAGAGATGTGCAGTATTGGGATTCAAGATTGAGGCCATGATGATGTGATCAAAGCACATAAAACCCAGGTGGACCTTCAGTTGCATGGTCATGGCCACCATCTTGACTTCT